ATAAATAAAGTTTTTAAGAAACTTTGTAAAATTTTAAAATTTCTTTCTTTCTCCAAAAAAAACGTCATATCTAAGTCATCCATTAATATTACGTGATCACACGCAAATTATAAGATGCGAAATAGAACACGCCTTCTTATTTGATCTTGAAATATAGAAAGTATTTGATATATTTTGTAAAATTTAAATATTTCAGTAAAATAATATTTTCGATTTTTTTCCAAAAAAAACGTCATATCTCAGTCATTAATTAACATACGTTAATTGCGCAATAGAACACGAGTTCTTATATAAAATTTATTAATTTGATTAGCTAATGTTTTCGAATTTACTTAATGAAAATGATCAAATTTTAGATGTTTATAATAAAAGATCCACAATTAAAATACTAGAAAAAAATAATTCATAAAAAAATCTGTAACTCAATACTAAAAGAGACAACATTTTCAAGTTCAACTTTGATAACTTATTACAGTAAATTGTTAAAATTCATTCGAAAGGCCATCATTTAAACGCATGCAAATTGATCTAAAAAAAACTCCATTCCGTTGCAAATAATCAAAGTCACGTAATTATATAAAAAATACGCAATACAATTTTAATAAGTTCATGTTGTAATTAAAAAAAAAGTATTATATTTTTTGTTTCATCGATTGAGAGGAAATGTTATTGAAAATTGTCAACAAATTATTTGAAATATTTAAGCTTGTTTCATACAACACAATTAACTTCATGATTAAAATATCTTAAATCAATCTTAATTTGTTTTAACTATAAATTATGTGAATTTATTAATTTCTCAACTTTGATGGCTTGTTAGAAGAAATCGTTAAAAACAACACATCTACCCGTAACCGCATTTGAAAGGCTATAGTTTTGTTTTGAATCTGCATATGCGTTGACCTAATTATGATGTGCAGTTTTCTAGTAATTAAGTAAACCGTGAAAACATTGCATTTTCTACTATGACAGTTTATTGCAAGACAAGGGTGAACACCAATCACAATTAACTTTGCACGCAATTCTATAAATTAAATATAATTACTTTAAAAGTATGTATAATTATATTGCAAATATGTTTACGAAACATGAATATATAAAATTCATAATTCATTATGTAAATATATTTACATAGAAACCTTATTAAAATGTATATTTTGTAATAAAGATAATACCTCCAAAAATCCACTCAATTCGATTGGATGAGAAGTGCCAACCAATCAAAAAGCGACATTTTGACAAACGTTGTGTACTTTGGATAATCCTTACATTATCAACATTTAATTAATTCTGCAATTAACGCCATTAATCTAATTATTTGATTGTATTAATTACATAAAACTTTATTAAATTAAGAAAGTAAAACCAGAGATTTCAATAGATTCAAATGTGATGCATGTCAGTCAGTTATTATTAACGCGGTTTGTCGAAATACATAAAGACGGTTTTGTAACATTCTGATCCGATTAGAAGCGAAACAGACGTATGTAATTTTAGCAAAATGGAAAATGCAACATTCGAAAGTGCATCTTTGCTTGGATGCAATTATAGAAAAGAATTGAAAGGAAGAAAAAAAATGGAAATAAAGGAATTGCGAACGATTTGCAAGTGGATAGAACAGAATAAGGCAAGCATGGAAATTTGTATATAGATCCGAGATTGCTGAACAGTTATTTAACTGGATAACGAGTTTCTATTGTTTGCCACTTCAGAAGAAGAAACATTTCTCGCGTGCAACGGGAGGAAAATTTTTGTACGTTTCACTTTGATGCATCAACAACAATCATTTGAATTTCTAAATTTTACGCGTTATTCAAGTAAATTTATCTTTTCCTTAACTAAATACTTTTTTTTATAATCACAATCATTTTTATCCTAACTCCCATTTACTTAAAAGTAATTGCATCCTATTAATCCTATTTTTTTACTTAATAATAGTTAAAATGGATGAATACCAACTTTTAATAACGTTTAAACTTTTTTCCATCAAATAATGTTATTTCCGAAACAAAACTCAAAGTCGAAATATCTAAATAATGACTAATAAAGTCTAAAAACGAGATTAAAAAGTCTTAAAATGGATAAATTTCATACGTTTAAACTTTTTTCCAACAAATAATAATATTTCCGAAACAAAAATCAATTTGTAAATATCCAATAAAGACTAATAAAGTCTAACATACAAGATAAACAAAATATTGCTTCATTTGTAAAAGACTTAGTGAAAATGGATAAATTCCAACTTTTGATAACGTTTAAACTTCTTTTCCATCAAAGAATAATATTTCCGAAACAAAAATCAAAGTCGAAATATACAAATAATGTCTAATAAAGTCTTAGTTTCTTGATTTGTAATAAACAAAAATCTACAGGAAAATTTTAAATTCAGTCATCAAATATTCTAAAATTTAATTATCACAATCAAAAACAAGATAAAATAGAAAAACTTCATAAACATAATTAAAAGTGTAAATATATAAACAATTAAAACCTGATAGACCTTCTATCAAATGAGTAAAATATTATAAATAAGTGTAGACGCAATAAAATGTATTTTTGTAACCGAAAGTAAACAAGAACTGGAAACATGTATTTACGAAAACACGTTTTATCTTCCTTTTTTTTTAATAGGAAATCAACCATCATTTGCTATTTCCTTTTTATATCTTTAACATCGTTATTTTATAATTTATTCCACAAAATTACACAAAATTTGTTTTATGCAAATTTAGATGATGTCCACTCTTTTTTTCGTATAAAATAATCATTTGGATTTCGCGATAAATGTTAATGATTGGATTAATATAATTATAAAATTTATGCAATCCTTCGCATTCTCCCTATAAAAACAGCTTTCTATTGCATTTTATCGAAATTATTAAAAATTCCAATCAAAATTTATAATTTGTTAATTTCAATAAATAATTATTTTTTTCAAGTATGTTTTAATTATTTCAAGTATGTTTTTGTACATATCTAAATTTGTATGTAATTTAATTTCTCTATTTGATACGTAGTTAATATTATAAATTATTATTTAAAAAAATTGAATATTCAAATTTTAAATTACCAATTAATAATTAGAAAAAAATATTCAAAATTTACAAAAATCATTACGTGTCATTAAATTAAGGTCATTTTTACTTCGAACTAATTTTTATTCATGTTATGAAAGATTTTGAGCAGTGATTCCCAAAGTAGAATTTAAAAAAAAAATCCAGAGGGCGCTTTGTAATGTTTTTTCCAAATAAGTTTGGAAATCACTGATTTAGAGTAATCATAACCAAGGATTACCGAAAATCTACTTGGCAATAACTTAACAAATCAACGATTTTATTGTCTACATCTACTTGTAAGCTTTCATTAACATACGCAGTACATTTAATTATTATGTAACTATAGAAATATGGAGCATGTACATTTATTTCAAGGTGTTGTCAATTTAATATAAAATATGCACACGTTTGTTTAAATTTAAAATATTCTAATTGTTTTTGATTTTCTGGGCAAGGCTATATCATATTACAAGATTTGATGTAAAACATTAAATGAAGCAAACGAAAAAAAATGTAAATTAAACAAGGACAATTATTACATTTACTATTTTTTCAAAATTCACCATTAAAAATTATTAAAAAATTTAAAAATAATTTTAACATTAAAGCACAAAAGTCACAAATATTATTCTATATTATCTTAGCTTTAATTCTTTAATTAAATTAACTGTTTTATTATTAGAGAAATACAAAAAAAAAGTGACAAAAAAATCCAATTTTTGATACAATTTCAACTTTAACCTTTTGATACTAAATGGATTCATTTCAAAGTACAGTTTGTGCTTATTAATAACCGATATGTTTGGTTTGAATTACACAATTTTTTTATTATCTCATTTATATTTGAATCTAACTAAATCCAAAATTTTCACATTTTCTTTTCAACAAGAAATAAGAAACAAAAAAATTGGATACAAATATTTCTAGTTGATCTTCTGAAAAATTATAGAAATGTATTGACTTATACTATCATAACAGAAAAAAAAATGGAATATTATTATTAACAAATGTATGAGATTCAATAATTACGTAATTTACTTAATGCAATAACAAAATGACATTACAGCAACTGTCTCGATTTTCATTGTAATTATTGATGTGATAAATTTCACGTTGTTTTCTAATCACCAGACGTTTCTGACTGTGGGAAATCTCTTCGTGGGTAATTGGAAAACGCGGGGGTTGGAAGTGTGTTGTAAAGGTTGAAAACTGGAGGAGTCGAACGGATGGATCTTCTACGTCTATACTCAACATTATGCCTTTTCTTTCTCTCTCTCCTTTTTTGTTTGTTGTTGTTTCGAGTTTTCACCGACCTATAAGCAAGAGTCGCACGAAGAAACGCGCACCATTTCGCATTTAACTAACGCTCTGTTATCATCGCCCAACGGTCATCTCCGAATCAAAGAACAACTAGGTGGTGAACTATATATATGTACAACTTTTTGGGATCTTCAGTTAGTGAACTCCAGTTAAACCACATGAATTTGACCGTCTTCGATAGACTAATAGATCTGAGTAAGTTTATAATTTACTTTTTTTTGTCGACTCCTCTCACAAAGATTTCTCCAACTTGTTTATTCTTTATGTTAAAACCATCACTTTCTTTTATATCTAACTAAATTTCATTTTCATATTTGCTCTTTCCAAGTAAATTCTATAATACTTTCTGTTACTCTTAAACAATTACAATTTTTATTAATATTTAAACTTTTTATAACATAATTTGCTACTTTATAAAAAAAATACAGCTTTGATCAGTCCGGATTCACTATAGTCCGGTTTGAATATTTCAATACAAAATAAGTTTCAATTCATAAAATAAAAAATAAATTAGTACACAAAATTATTTGTTTGTACATAAATGATTGTTTTTATTCCTTTATACAGTCAAGTCTCATTTTGTACGGATTATATTTATAAAGTACTCGATTTGTCCGGTTTCTAACAGTCCAAGATATAGTAAATTTTAGTTTTAAATAGTGTAGGAATTACAATAACGCTAACAGTTTCATTTTACGACCATTTTTCTAATCAAATTTAACGCTGTAACATTGAATAGTGTTTAATTATGAAAGGAATTGAAATTATAATTCCAAAAAAAATTGTTAAATGAAAGTAGGCCACGTTATGCTTTACTTATGAAAAGCTATGATGTATCTGTTTCTAAATTAACACGCATATTTCGCACTAATAAGCATAGTTTTATTGTTGTTACTTTTTTTTATTAAACCGCAATAGATAATAAATCATTTTTTCTTGAAATTTAGTTAAAATGTTTGTTTTAAATTATACACTTACATAAATATTTACAGACAAAAACGTGTGAAACAATCATAATTTTTTTTAAATGCAATATCAGTTTCTTACTTTTCGCTTCACGATTTTCATGCACAAAGATCAAATTTCGAAACTAAATACACGTCTTATTCTATTCGTCAGAGAAACATATTAATTTCTTACGTTAATAAATGGAAATATCACTTACATTTTCTATTTTATTACAAATAAAAAAACGTCTGATATTATAGAATTAAAAAGATTATTGTAGATTATTTCAAATAATTATTAATACCAATTCATTAACTTAATCAAAAAATAAGAAAATTTGCAATTTGTAATAAAGTTGTAAAACCTAAGTTGTTGTTATTTATAACAAATTTGCATAGAAAATAATAAATGTTTCTAAGAAAATGTCGGATGCTCCAGATTGTTCACTGAATAACTTAAATTAAGGTCGTTTTCGTGATTACGCAATGTTCTTTGACAAATAATAATAGAAAAAATGGAAACAAGGAGTCGTTATTTAAATAACAACTAAAACGGAAAGTAAAAATAATTTGTAAAGAAATGTGTTTGAACCATTTACAAGTTAAAATTAGTCTCGAGTAAGGAAGTTCGTGTAAGATGTGAGGTCAAATATATTCGAACTGTTACGTGTTTTGTGCGTACATCGCATAAAAGAATACACTTAATGTTCCAATTTCAGTTTACTACAATGTTTCACCTTCTTGCTTCGTACAATGTATGTTAACAACAACAACGATTATTGCAGTTCTTATATAACCTTATATTTCAATTATGTAATATGTATTATTTTTTTATATAAAATTACTTTTAATTGAAATTAGAATTATTAAAATTTTACTCTCAATTTTTTTTTTAATATTCGCAACTACAAAAATACTAAACTTAGCTTTATTCTTGCCATTTTTTATATAAAATTATCATTCTTTGAATTGATTACATGAATAATTATTTAAGTTCATTGAATCTTGGTTTATTCGGAATTGATTCAAGGTGAATTTAAAACATATTTACAAATATTGTACGACATGATATATTATTTACGGAAGTATAGGGTTTTAGTAAAGACTACTAAAACCCAGTGTTTTCAAGGTTCACACATCCAATTGGAATTGGAATGTTTTTGAGAAACACGTGTGAAACTAAATTCCACAAAATAATCTTTATATTAAGATAAGATGATATAATATAATACAATATAAAAATAGGAAGTAAAATATTTAAAATTTGATATATGTAGGTTTACTTCATCAAGTAAGTAGATTGTTGTATATTGCATTTAGTTTAGTTATTGCCACATGTTGGTTATTTCAATAATTAAGTAGGTGTTACAGATTTGATTGGCAATTGGTAATTAAGCAAAGTTGTTAGTGCTAATTGCAGCAAAACATATTAGCATTTGAGATGTCGACATTAAACTAAAAATCGCGATGACCAAAAAAAAACCTGTTATGCGTATCTAAATGTTTCTTGATTTTGTTTTATAGCCATGAGTTTCGTAGGATATTGCAAGAAACTCTTCCTGTCAGCGATGGCATCCATCTGGGATTTGATTGTCATAGGCGCTCTCTCCGTCATCTACATAGGAGAATCGATAGCATTGACCTTTACCCCAACCTTCTTAAGATCCCAGAAGAGTCTTCGTAATAAGATCATCTTGCTGACGGGCGGAGCCGGGGGCGTCGGACAGGAGTTGACCTTGCGATTGGCGAGGCTAAAGGCCAAGGTCGTCGTTTGGGATATCAACGAAAAAGGTATTTTTTACACGTTTGAACTTTCACAAATCTGATAGATTAAATTCTTGTCTTTCGTTCATTGTGAATCTAACAAATGCACTTACCCAGCATCTCGAGGATAAACTTTCTCTTAGTCAAAACGGAGCTCTTTCTCTCCTTGCTTGTTGTATAGCGAAATTGTTGCGTTGAACCTGAAATGCGAAAGTTCTATGCTTGACCTAATCGTGTGTACGTTCGCTTCTACAGCTTTGGAGAAGGTCCAGGAGAAATGCGCGAAGGAAGGATACAAGATCTACACCTACGCAGTGGACATCTCGGACAGGCAGAACGTTTACAAGAACGCAGATCTCGTCAAGTCCGAGGTTGGACATGTGGACATCCTCATCAACAATGCAGGCATTGTTTGCGGAAACACCTTCCTGGACATTCCAGACCACATGATCGAGAAAACTTACCAAGTCAACATTCTATCTCATTACTGGGTATGTGCAGATTTCATCCAGAATCACCACAATCTTAATAATTGAAGCACACACTAAAAATGAATACAAACGTCATTGATGGTAATCTAATACTTGTTTTTTTTTATTAAAGACAACCAAAGCCTTCTTGTCGGACATGCTGAAGAATGGCCGCGGACATATCGTTACCATGGGTTCGCTTACTGGCCTTCTTGGTACCTACAAATGCACAGATTACAGCGGAACCAAACACGCGGCCATGGGTTTCCACGAAAGCCTGATGGCCGAGCTGAAGACCCACGGACACGACAACATCAACATGACCATCGTGTGCCCGTACTTCATCAATACAGGCATGTTCTCCGGCTGTAAACCTCGCAATTTCCCTATGTTGGAACCTAAGGACGTCGCTAAGAGACTCATCACCGCCGTCAGACGCGAAGAAGTTTACGTCACGATGCCAGGATGGGCGCGCTTCATCTTACCAATGAAGAAGTAAGCAACTAACCAAAAACCAACTATAACTAATTTCTTGCATTTGTAGCTTCATCCCAGCCAAATTAGCTTGGGCTCTTTCCTATAGATTGATCAAAGGACCACAGAGCATGATGGGATTGAGACCGTTCCAGGATAGTTCTAGTTCGACGGTCGAAGTAGCCGCTGCCTGAACAACAACAAAATTAATTACTTGTTTTAAACTATTTTAATTATTTACTAATTTATGCAATGTAGATGATTTTTTTTATAAATATATAAAGAAAAGGATATGTATAACTAGAGACTGCTGTTACTGTATCGTTAATATTTTATTTTCTTATTGTAAACGGAATACTATTAAATATATTATTTGTTTTTACATTAGCATTTCTTACACTAACTATCCAAAATAAACACTAATATTTAGTTCAAATATAACTGTAGTTCCTATTATAATATATATTCATAGCTTCAAAGCTATGATTTTGAGTTTTGGTCACCCACTCAACGCATTGCTTGACTATAGTGAGTTGTCAATTAGTAAATACCCAAAGCAAAATTTGAAAGAAATCAAGAAAAATACTAGATACAAACAAGAGGATACAAGAACAGTAATCAAAATGATACTAGTAATAATTACTTAAGTAGCACAATGATATTTAATTGCGATTTAAAGAAGTCGATGAATTCAAATGAATCTCACATACAAAAACAGTTATTGTGAGATTATTCTTAAATTCTATGAAAATCACCGGAAGATTCTCGAGAAGAAATAATAAGAACAGATATCCCGGACGTCGTTTCTTAGGATTCAATGTTTTCTTTTTTGACTAAGAGATGAGAAGATTTCTTCTTCTGCATTTAACTGCTGTCCTAGTTCTCTGTGAACACTTTTCTATCGTTCACTATTTTTAAACATTTTAATGAGTTTACATCACGAATCGCAATTAATATAACTTTTTTTTTTAATATAAATAAATTATTTTAGAAAAAAAAAGTATAGTAAACCTGCTTTTAAAACATATGAGGAAATCTTATATAATTGAAAATATCCCAAAAGTTTATTTAAAACAAAAACAACTATAATTAGAAAACTTTTTATTTTAATTTCACAAATAAAGAAAAGTTTAGTAAATCTATTGAAAATTACAAGAATGTTAAAGCAAATCGATAAATTTTGTCATAATAATTAACATTTTAAAGAATTAATTGGAACAGCGCTACAACCTTTGAACTATAAGCTTCGTCATAAGACCTATAGTTGGCGCTACCAATCTGCAATTAGTGAAAAGCTTTCGTTGGCAATCGCAAGCCCGACAACCGAAATACCGTCAATCACATTCCCGACGTTTGAAATCCCGACTGTATCGAAATCGAATTGTAGAAATTTTCGATATAGTCGGGATTATAGTTGTCGAGATTCTGATACAGTCGGGATTATGGTTGTCGAGATTTTGATAGACGGTATTTCGGTTGTCGGGCTTGCGATATAGACCCAAAAGCTTTAGTTTACGCCATCTTTTAGTTTTTATTTTCTTCCGCCTGCTACCTCCCTCTAGGAGGAGCCTCTTCCATTTAGCTGTAGTAATATTATACAGCAGCTGTCCAATATACAGCAATGCCTGGAATTACGTCAACTCGTTAATTGATAACATTTTTGCATTTTCTTCTGATTGTGAAGCAACTCAACAACATATGAACTAAAAAATAACTAAATTTATTGTTTCATCTATTTCACAACAAAAAAAAACAAAGAGATAAACTATGTAAAACCGAATTTTGGAAACCAAAAATGTTACATTTATAATAATAATAATTAAATCAACAAAATTTCCACCTTCGCATCTAACACAAATACAACTTACTTATAAATAAATTTCACCTATATTTCATCAATAATATTGCAATTATTGCATATTATTTAGTGTATTTATTTAGACTTTCTGCGTCGCGTGGTAATAAAGAAAAGGACACTTCGCAACTGAAATTATGTACAACAAAAAGCTCAGAGGCATACACACACACAGAGACACACTCCTCGCGCAAACAAATATAAATTAACATCGACAAAACAAAAATTGGCTTCTTTGGAGGCCCGATATGTCTTCAACAGAAATCAAAAATCTTAAAGAATAAAACCTAGCCAAGCTGGTGGTTTGACACTGATTCGTTTTACAACAGCAACGGTAATATTATATGCACATTTCCTCGAATCTTATGTTATAATTGTATACAATAAACATCATCTTTACAAAAAAAAAAGAGTACCTAAGCACGATACAATATTATATTTATATAAAATATATGTTTGTCACGCTTTTTCTTATACATTTTCTCTCCTGTAAAAATAAAGGTAAAATAACGTTTACATCCAATCTTAATATCAATTGAACGAAAGCCTAGTTAATTCATTATAATTATTTTTTTTTTGGCATTTTCATCTCAGCGCTTTCTTTTGTAGTATTTTTTTTGTTTGTTGTTACACGTTTAATCAACATTTAAAGTAATTAATCTACAATATTCAATAAATACACGTAACAACTAAAGCTTAACACAGCCTAAAGGCTGAAATAGAAACAAAAAAATCTTAATTAATTAATCACCGCCTTGCATTTATGTAACTATAAATTTTATGGTTTTGTTTATAGATATAAAAGACATAAAGAAAATAATTCATTTAAATGATTAAGAGCACACGAAGAAGCTCACACTGCGTTTCACCACGATGTAACTAAATCCGCGCTCGCCCGAATCTCGTTTTTTTTTTTGTCCTTTATTCATTATTTTGTCATTTTTTTTTTGTTTGTTTGTTATGTGGATTCCACGTGGCTTAATCCATATTAAGTAGATACAGTATGATATCCTCGCTTATCCTAACTAAAATGTGAATGAGAAAGATTGAGAACCACATCAGTTGGTAACGCCTGTCCGGATAGTCCAGGTCCAAGTCTCAGTCGGAGTTCTGCGTGAGGGGAGGATACTCTTGATCGTCGGTGAACTGGAACCCGTCCTTGGGTGGAGACTCGGTGGCAACAGCCATCTCTCGGAACTTGTCCGACTCTACGCACACAGAGAATAACAATCAACAGTGAAGAATCGAAAGAAGTACACGATGAGACAACATCGGAAACATCTTCTTCATACACAATATATATATAAACAAAATAGAAATATCATTTATTTGCACAAGAACTGTTAAGAATAGCATAGAAATGGATGAAAATGAATGATGCGTCAAAGCTTATGATCAACTTTCAACTTTTTCCCATTTCATTTTTTTTTATACAATGTTTACTACAAGAACTTATATTGTTTTTTTTTTACCTACTTTTGATTCTTACAAATTTACCAATAACTAAAATAAACAACGATAATAATTTAATTACAGAAAATAATAAATTCGATAATACTTGTAAAATATATATTTATTTTTATATAACAATAAATAAAATATAACAACTTCTTATTATTTTTTTTTTACGAAATAAATCGTTTCGATCAGTCTTATTTATATTAAATAAATGCTTGTAGTAGGAAAAATGTTTGGAAATAACCAAAATTGATCATATTTCATTAAGAAAGCAGCCAAGTCAAAGCAATCAGATTAAGAAAATTTTCGTATTTTCCAGAATCCAAGTGATTTGACTTTGTGTTAAGAAATAATAAAGCGTTTTAAAAAAAAAGCAATATAAAAATATTGCTTTTGTTGCGACAATTGTTGCAATTATTTCAAATAGAAAAAGAATCACAACAATTGAAACATCAAAACCAGGTCCAATCACAATAAACATAAACCTTAATTTCTGCAATGTTCTTGGTGTAATTTCATAAGCACCAATATTTGCTTTGTTGTATATTTCCATAGTACAATAAATCAAGGATGTGTCAATTGGGAGATGATTGAAGCGTTTTTTGGTGTAAAAATTAATATTGCAAAAGCGTGTAGCGAGATAAATCATCGATGGGTGTAAATTAAAACAATAAATTGCTAATGTTTTACCAATAATCATATTTTAAAAAAATAAATAAATAAAAAGCGTGTACTTAGCCTGCGAGGGGCCATAGACTGTTTTGTTTTCGGGGGGTTGGATGGACGGAAGGATCGTGTGGTCTCGAGAACAACATCGTTCGTGTTTTCGGTTTTTGTTTTGTCTTTACTCAATTAGTTTCCGTTTTCTCTTTCTTTTTTTTTTAATGTCTGTTTTCGAAATGGGTATAACTTTATACTGACCAGTACCTGACATTTGACCCGGTGGATGACCTTTCACGATGCCCGCGTAGCTACCTAGTATTGTCGAGCCTTGCAAGTAACAGAGAAAAACAAAATGGGTGCGGGATCTTTCATTCGTTCATTCATAATACATAGTTTGTACCGTTCTTCAATTCTTTCGTCTCAAAATAGTTTTACTTTTTTTCCTCGTTCGGTTCTATGGAAATTTTTTAGAGCGTTTACCCGGGAAATCTGTTCAGCGTATTTATCGTCAACCATCGTTAACTCATAGTTTGAACATTTCATTTTTCCAACGAAACTTATAAGTAAACAAATAAATTAAAAGTAAGAAAATTAGAAAGAAGTTAACCATTAAAATCACATATATACAACAACATGTCAAATACTGATAGTTTCTCTTTACATTTCTTTGATTCCAAAAGAATCGTGGTGTTTCAACGTCTCTTGAAACTATTTTAAATATTTCAGATTTCCTATTTTTATCAAATAGAACGAAAAATAAAAGTTCCTAATTAAATTGCACTACAATAATTTCAGTAATAAATTTCGCCTAATAAAATAAAAAAAAATTGTCTTTAAAAAAAAACTTACTAATTTAAAGCACTTATATGCAAGTTCCTGAAAAAATGTATTGTAAATCGAATTAAAAATAATTATGGCTGCAAAAAGTATAGTAAAAAAAATAATTTAAAAAAAATAGATTAAAAATTTTGTATGATAAAAATATATATAATTGAATAAAGAATATATAAAGTATGCTTATTTCTATCTGAAATATCATCTATAAAACTTATATCTAAAATCTGAAAAATATTATTAAGTAACTCAAATATATGAAGCGAACATTCGTAAATAGCTAAGAAAATGCTATAAACTTCAAATATATGAAGCGAACATTCGTAAATAACTAAGAAAATACTAAAAACTTATATGTAAATCTTCCATATTAAAAATAGCTGTTGAGAAAACATATCCAGAACAAAAAACAGAAACATCCTGTATGTTATTATTTTTTTTTAAATATCTCAAGGATTCGAATTGATTCACAACAAAAAAAGATATTTAAGTAGAAAAAAAAATGTTACAAAAAAAAATGTATATATAAAACTAAAATTCGAGCAATGATATTAGGTTTATATAAGGAATATGTATATATATATAATATATATATAATACTGAAAATTGTCCGGTGATCGCGATCCGCCAATTGGGAAATTGTTGAGCACCAATCGACGATCTTCTCGCGTTTTCACCGATAATTGCTTTTCGCAAAATGAAGTATCTCAATTATTCGGTAATATTAAGACTACTAGCAATTAAACTAATACTAACTTTATAAAAAACATAAAAAATAATAGTATGTCATGCAGATTTAACAAAACTATATATGAAGAGAGATCCAAGAACAAACTTATTTTTTTTTAAACACAATAAACGCAAACTTGATTTCGGTTATTCACAGTTAGCACAGCCGTGTAGCTAAAACTACGAGATCAGTCGGCAAATCAAGTAAGCGCGTTAATTAATATTTGGTTCTTTTTTTTTTCTATGCTTTTTTTTATAACTTAATTATAATTGTATCGGTTATCATAACAATGATAAGATTTTTTACCTTCATTTTCCATTAAGAACTGGGGCTCAGGTCGAGTGCCGTCCGCATTATTGGCGACGCCATCCAGACTGAATTGCTTATAAAGGGTAAGCTCGGTACCCTCCGGTCCATCCATGTTGTAGATGTATAGGAAGCCCTCTTCCGTAGCCACGAGAAGCCTCAATTGGTTCTGGATGCTAAATGAAACAAGTAAAATTAGTAGAGAACAGTAGATACAATTGCGTCTTTAATACTTACGTTGTTACGGCAACGTCGTTCCTTACGCCTGAGAAGGGGAGGTGAGCGGTCATGCATGCCCTACCCTGGGTGAACACGTCCGTGACTTGGGTGGGTAAGTAAGTAGATAAGTAGCCCATCCAACTAGCATCTACGCTCTTTCTAGGACTGCAGCAAAATACACATTACTATTTGTTGATTTGCGTGGAATTATTGTTGTCTTACCTGACTTGCGGTTCTTCAAGCTTGAAGATGTGAACTGTCTCCGTGTTGCTGCTGCAAGCCAAATACCTGGAGCACGTGCTAAATGCCAAGCAGCTGATCTCCACGCACCTCTTGACTCCTCTACGGAACTCGTAGAGCTTCGAGCCGTCCAGTACAGAGAATACCCTGATAACCGTGCCCTTTTCTGAAGCAGTTGCGATCCTTGTGCCGCTAGGTATGAATGCCAATGCAGCTAAGGGACTATCATGGGCAGGGATCATCGTTTTCGCATGCTAAAATACGTTCAATAATTGTTATTACTTGAGCTTTCAAAGATAAGTACTTATGCAAATTCTGACAACATGTTCATTACTAATCCAAGATAATTTCACCAAATATACTATGAATAAAATTGAATAAATGTTATATATCTTTCTTATAAAACCATCGGAATTTGAACTGACTATAATCATTAATTAAAATTGTGAACTGAAATTTGTTTATGCAATGATAAGTAGTCATCACAGATATAGATTATATAAATTCCCTGGTAGATGTAACAGTTACTATCCCTGTAATCTACTTGACTTATAAGGTTAATATTAACATACCAAGTTGATTGCATCGAAGATCTGAACCTCGCCAATATAATTTGAGCCGGGATAGGCAAGGTAGCAGTTATCACTGTTGATGCTAAGAGCACAAATACCATTTGGATTTGGTGGAGTGTCCCTTATGGTGTGCAGCACTTTCATGTCCCTTATGTTATGTATATACAAGCTCTCCTCCAAGCACACCACTAATCTAATCCTGCAAAATAAAAAACAATTAACATCGAAATAAAAACACCTAAGTTGTATAACGTACCTGTTCAATTTGACAGACAAGATTGTGTTGGAATACGAATAGTTACAAATCTCCGAGCCCTTCTTGAAATGACACACCTTCAGTTTCCTGGGCGCCGTTATCGAAACTATGGCCATGAGACTGCTACTGAATAACCTCTCCACTAAGCACGTATCGTCCTTAATATTTGTGTAGATCATATCCAAGGTATCCGCGCAATTCAGCGAATACAACCTAAAACCATTTTTGCACGCAACTGCCAAAGATCTGTAACAATAAATGTGAAAGATCACAGTGTATTCAATCACACAACAAGAGATTTAACAACATAGAACAATTGAACAACACAATAATATTATTCATTATATACAGTACCTAGTCGCGCTAAGTGCATCGATTTGTTCATTAAAATAACTAACGTAATAAACCTTTGATTCCATCACTAGAAAATTAAGGATCTTCCTGAAGCCAATCCTACAAGCTTTATTTGCTTTTGTTTCCCTCTACTACTCCCAAAAGGAACAAACGAGAAGAAAACCGAAATAAAAGCGTTCCAAACTTAAAATATGACTTCAACAACTTTTACTAAATCTTCTAAAATCTAAAAGAAAATCTATATCAGTATTCCACACAATAATATATTACTTCGTTCTTATCATAATTTGTTAACACACTTTTCACTTTCAAATTCAAAATACTACAATTATGCACGGAGCTTGCATACAACCAAATTCACAGTTAAGTACTGAATCTTTGCAATGAACAAGTAGTAACAAGAATAAGTGACCGACAACGTTTAGGGGTGGGAGAAACAATACCGACAAAGATGGGTCAGTACCTGATCTATTGTTAGTCATTTCTCGGCATTTTTTCCTAAAACTTTTTACCGATAAATAAGCTTTCTATTATTGAAAAGGAATATGCTCATCGCAGGTCAACTTTCTAGAAAATACGTAAACCCTAGTCCATGATAACTGTCACAAAACTTTTAGCACCAAATAAAAATCCCTTTTCGGAAACCTCTATTTTCAGAATAATGATGAAAGCATCATGGGAGTAAAAGTATACATTCAGATACGCTTTAGGATTGACTTCTTTGTTTCAAAGGTGCTGCAAATGCCCCGAAGCGAAGCTGAACCTTTCAATATTCGACACGGAGCAAAAAATTGTTGTTACTTGCATGACGGAAACATTTCCAATTTCGGCGAACAAAAGAAAACATAACTGAGAGGACACCATAACCGTTGCTAAATGCAAGAATTTTAGCTTGTATCAGCAAGAATCTAGTTATCAAAAACTGGCATGCATCAGCGTTGATAAACTTAATAATTATCAAGCAACGAAAGTATGCAAAAAAAAAAATGTAAATTGTTCAGATTATTTCGCAACATTTAACAATCATTGGATATTTGGTTAATCGTTATGCAAGATCAATACATAAGAATGCAAATTATTTAATGACGTAAACTTTGAATACAACAATTTGCGTCTAGACACTAGAAATAAGATCATTGTTTTGTTTGTACAATTAAAACCAAAATCTAATGCAACTAATTCGTAATTTATCATTGATATTAAAAACAGAACATTTCCTGTATTGATTAAATAATCAGTTTTTTTTAGTTCAATTTAACTATTAGTAAATAGAGGAAGGCTCTTTGTTAACGATTATTAATAGTAAAGTGGTGCCCTTGAAATGTTCTGTGCAAAAAAAAGTTCATTCCATTCTTTACGAGTGGAAAATTTAATGGTGTTAATAGTTTTAATTTCACTAAATGCATGTTTGGATCCATTTAGTTATCATTAAATATTGCACAATTATTATGCAAGATCTTAATTAGCAGCCAGTTTTGTTATAATTACAATTCATTTTACTTTTAAGTTTCATATTGAAAATATACTGTTTGATGATTTTAAACAAGATTGGCCTTTTACAACTAGAAGGCATTTGAGAAAAAAAAACTGTTATTTCATCTATTGCACACATCATTGAGAGTTTTAACCTTCCATTCGAGTTTTCCACATATGGAAAGATATGTTAATATTGCACATACAAGTTTTATTGATTGCAGATGTCAATTATTAGACAATTGACTTTACTTAGAGAAATAGTAACATGTATAATTTTAGATATCCTTGATGTAATTGCAAATGGATTAAGAAACAGTAGCTATGGTTATAAAGATTTTTAACAGAAATATATATTGTTATAAATAAATAAGTAAAGTTGTTTTTAATCTTTTAAAACAGAGATGTTGCAATATTTTGAATGATTTTCTTTGAGATGTAATTTATTAATTGGCAATTTAATGAATTCCAAATTAAAATTATCAGGAACTTTGATAGCTGTTACACATGCACATTGTTATTATTTCATTTTCATGGCAACAAGATATTAATAAATAATCGTGATAATGACATAGTGTCGAAAGTTCTTGACATTGTCGAGAAAATGCACAGAGAGAATCTGTTTACCGAAACTCATCATTATGTGTGGGCCAAGTTTATATTTTTTTTTTGTTCACCCGATCCGCATTTATTTACATCAACAAATATACGTGACCCAGATATTGTGTTTTGACGCAACTCGCAAATTGCGAGTCGAAGTTTGTTGCTCGTACACATCCTTTGTTTTGGTACAAGAGCGTTTGAAAAAAAAAGCGTTGACGCCTTTTTCGAATCACGTCACTTGCATATTAAACGTTACCAGTGTACCTGGTTACATAAAAAAAACAGAAATATATCTACAACAGAGGACAGATATACAACACAATCATTCGATGGACAAGGACGAGGTGATAATAATAATTTAAAAACAAGGACTTACGTGCTATCCTGATTGAAATTAACAAAATAAGTAAGCGGGGTGTTGCTGGAGGAGGACGCATTGTTTACGTTGGTCATGAGGATAGCTTGGTGTGTTTTGTTTGGTTTCAAAGCTGGTTGTTGTCCTTTGTTTTCTCGCGTCGCTTTGGGGTTTGTCTTCACTTTCTGCAGATGCTTGTCGTGCGATTCCTTCGATTACTGGACAAAATTGTAGCTCTGATCTTCAGCTGCAACTGGATGTTTGCTTTCTACCACAAAGAGCGACCTTGATATTTAGTATCACAACAACTAAACTACTCTGCGACCATATTGTGTGTATTGACATAAACAGCTGATGAACACTTCCAGGCGGCGCGCATGGCTGTAAAAGTGGGGGTGACGATCAGGATCCGTCACATGGTTGTCACTGCTATGGCTATGGCAACATGGTATGAGTGGGAGAGGAACGATCTTGGTATATGCAACTACATGTATGATTGATTAGTCATATGATGATATAAACAAAATAACTCGTTCTGAGACGTAAATCGCGAATGCATCGATCGATGACGTCTTTCTAAAATATTGCTTATCTTCTGCTATAAATTATAAACGAACAAACAATTTTCGTAAGCTTATCGGGAATTTTGATTAAAGCTAGATAACCCAACGTTATCTGCTCCAATTACAAAAGAAAACCTTCAACTAATTCTTATTATTGTTTATAATAATAAAAAAGACAATGACATCCTTAATCCTGACTATTACATCCGTCATCCTGCAACTTGCAACAACAATTACAAAACTAACTATGACTTAGTTTTGTAACTTGACTAACTATGACTTTACCAACTTTAACAGTCTCTTTTAAATGTAATGGAAAAAAGTTGTTTTTTAACATATTTTGATCTTTTACTTATGATTAATTATATAGTTCATTATATAAACTAAAAGATTCTTACTTCTTAATTAACATTTATTTTAGGAATCATAAAATTATCATTAAAAATCTATTTAAAATTAAGATCATTATTAATTTCAATTAGAATTACAGATTCTCAATATCAATCATCATCATAATTCATTAAATATTATGCGAATGAATCTAAATTTTAATAGAATTCAGTTATTATTTCATACTTTTTTATGTAAAATATTCGTATAAATTATACAATAGTCTGTCTGTACATAGGTGACTTGTTCAAATGTATTTTAAACAATAGGTATATCTATTATACATACATAATTCCTAACAAAATAAAAATTTGAAAACTTTATTTAGATGAATCAAAACTGTATATGAAAATTTATTTTTTTTTTTTTTAAATTTTAATTCAGCGGATTATGCAAAACTTCATCAATTCAAGGAATTTATTCATCTTCACATCGAGGCCAATTATGTAATAATGGTTCGTTCAACTCAACAGAAACTAACAGAAATGTTCTTGATTTATTTCAAATATATGCCAATATATATATAAAATGCGTATAATTTTAAAAATCGTTTCGATGTTTTGTTTTTCTGTTGTTGTTTATCATTCAGATAAATACGTCGAACTCTTAAATAACAAAACGTAAAATCTAGCAAGGTTGCTTACAGTTGCGTTTTCGTTATATAATATTGCGTATTATCATCATCATTGAACGACGCGTTTCTTTAATTTCAGTCATTTCATACTGAATCTTCTACAGTTAAAAATAACATTCAAATATGATTCTTAAGGTAGGCAACTAAACTATCACCAATATTTTTTTTGTTACATGAAATTATGTACAGGTTTATGTTCGTAAGTCGAATTTGTTCGTAATTTTAAAAATATATTTATCTTACCACATTTTATCATGGTTTTTACTTTTATATATGTTAAATTTTGTATTAAATTTGAAAAAATAGATTAACATAAACAAAATACTTACGACAAAAGAAACAAATGCAACAAGAAATTATCAATTTTTGTTTGTTCGTAAATCCGGGAATTCGTAAGTCGGGGGATACCTGTATTTAATAAAAATCTAATCTATTTATCTTAACTTGTAAATATACTTGATATTAATAATAGTACTTGAATATTTTATTATTTTCTAGACTAAACAACATATTGAAAGATTTCGAGGTCGGTGATCATTTAGTAGATAAAACTTAAATAATATGTAGTATTTCCTACAAGATTAATTAATGAGTAGAAGGAAATATATAAATTATATAAGTGGATAAAAAAGTAAAACGAAATCATCGAAACTTTTGCGTATAATATAAACATTCCTAATTCAGTACGATTCCAAAATCCAAAGTTGAATAAATTTGATATAGATTTTTTATATAATTTAGGTATATTTATAATTAATGAGATATGATTTTAATAGACTTTTAGACTCAACCTGCCTATCTCTTACGCAGATATAATTGTAGTTAAATTGTTACGAAATATTACTGTTTCAAAAAACACTAGTCAAAGATTTGTTTAGTTTTACAGGATAATTTAAAAACTTAAATTTATGCATCATAACGTATTTTTTATTATTCATCTTTTCATTTAATTACTGTTATTTGAGAAAAAAAACTAACATCTTAACGTTTTCTGATCTATTTAGTTGAATTGAACAAAGAAAATAAATATGAAACTATGAGCTTTTTCAATGAATCAACTAGATGTATAACATTTTCATCCAATAATTTAAGTAAAATAATATGACCTTGAAAACACGGTGTCACGTTTAATCTAATTACTCGATAATCACGCACGTTAATTAGATCGTAGAATATACAAATTGAAGATTAAACTATAGACTTTCCAATTAACTAAATGTCAGTCTTGTTATATTTACAGTTTTTTAGTAATAAGCTTTCAAAAAGAAATAATCTTATTAAAGAAAATGCAGTTATATAATTAGTATAATTTTTTTATATTTTAATTCAATTCTTATCAAATCGTTTTTTATTCCTCATTTTTCTGTAATTACTAATATTTATCAATTTGAAAACAAAAATCTGAGTAAATCAAAAACTTCTTGCGTGTTTTATGATTACAACTTCTATTGCGCATCTTTTGATATAGATACTGTTATGTAATTTTAGTTGATGACTGAGATATGGCGATTTTTTCTATAATATTTCCAAATAGATTTAACTCTGAATGTACGTTTATTGGATAAAGAATTATTATAAAATTAAATACTTATGCTAAGTAATCGATCATGTTTAATCAATATTTTGTGACATTCGAATAGGTCGCACTGCATTATAAAAATTAACCTATTCGAGTTGATTAGAGTAATTTAATTAATATTAATCAGTTGTAAATAAAAAGCACATGCACGTGTATTGTTATTATTCGTACGAAATTTGAATGAAAAACAAAGAACCGTTGCGTGAATCCATGAAACATCGCGAGGTAAGAAAACTTTCACAGAAGAGCACCGTCCGTCCGAGCTTACGTACATGTAACATCGGGTTCGAAAGTCAAGGTTGTCTCCTCTAAAAAAAAATAATATATATACACACACATCCATATTATTTATAAGGCTTCAACTCTGCATTCAAACGCGTATCTCTACGTGTGTTAGTTATAAGACTGAATATCATCATAGAAGTAGTAATCGCTTGAAAATTGCTCAACTTTGCTCTACCAGTCTTCGACTAAACCGCGATCCGATTGCGCGGTTTCCTCCTTCGCATTCATAACAGAGCCACGACTTCCTCCATCCACTACAACAAGAGTTCAGTTTAGTTCTTCGACGCAAACGATCCACCCAAAAAAATAGTTACAGACACTACTAGGTGAGTTTCACTGCCCTATATTTATCTAATCTTTGTTGTCAACAATTTTTAATGAACTATCGCTAATTTATTTACTCCTCCGTGTTGTTGTTGTTGTTTTTTCTTCAATTCTCTTCTCTCTTCTATTTCACTCATCCAATTCATTTAAATTCACATCACCGACGCAAAACGTGTTTCGTAATTGTCTTTGTATATTTTTATTTTTCTATAGACTTTGTACATTGCTCGGACTCTTATATTTAAATGTTTCAATTACATTGATATTTCAATAAAACAAATTGATTGTTTTTATCACAAAAATAGACTTATTCAATATATTGCATTATCAGTTCGAGTTATGAAATAACAGAAAATATATAAAAAAAAAGAACTCATTCGAGTATCATTTTTATCTATTATGTTTTATTTATTAATATATACATTTCGAACGGAAAAACCTACGTTTCGTGTATTTTTCTCTCTTTATTTCAAACTTTTTTTTCTTTGTAACTTTTCATATGTGCAATAAATATTGCAACAATTGTTAATTACGTTTGTATTGATAAATAAATTTTTGTATTACTACTTTACGATTGACTTATACAATTTTCTAGCAACGTTTTGATAGATTTTCTGTACATGAAAAGTTAAAAAAACAATCAACGTTATCAGCAAAATCTTCTGTTCGTGGAAAAGCATTCATTTAACGGTATGATCAAACATCAATAATCAAATTCAAATTAGTCGTCAAGTGAATACATTACCAGAAGAAATAAACAATGGAAATTGTTACGTTATATTTATTCATATAATTCCAAAAGTGGATGAAATTAAAATAAATTTATTGATAATATAATATTTTAAGTATTTATTTTTATGATAATAAACGTCCTTCATTAAGTTATTGTCAAAGTTTTTTTTTATATTGTTTAATAACTTTAAGAGTAAAATTTTATGACTTTGACAATATTAAAACAAATGGGACAAATGTTGTAAAATAAATTGAAAATTATCCTAATAAATGACAGAAAGTGACAGATAAATAAAATAATGCTTCTTTTATGACATTTGTCAAAATGTCAAAGTGTTAATTTAACACTAAAATATACTCTTGATAAAATAAGTTTATAGATGTAAACTTATGTTATTAATTTATTATGCTGAAGGTTAAAACACAAACAAATATATTAATGTTACATATTTGTTTGTGTAAAACTGGAAATAATATTTGAATGAAAAACCGTTTTTTTGTACGTTAAAATTTATTATGAAATAATTAGTATATTATTGAGTATCATTATAAATCCACCGGATTTATAAAACTCAAGTAAACAAAACCATTATACAAAATTTTGTATAAATTCGTAGAAGTATCAGTTGTAAATTATTAATAATAATTATGTAAGTGAACCTTGGATTCATCAATTCGATAATAGTTATCCAACAAAAATAATTAGAGATATATTTCAAAGCCCGGTGCACATGAATTCATAATATGAATAAATATAAACGAGGAATCGAGTCCGAACTTTGACCCTTCACGATAATGCGTCTCGTTATAATTTATTTATTTCCTTCTCGCATTTCTTTCAAATTTCCTCCATCCTAATTCTTTTTAGTCGCAACGATTCATTCTTTCGGTTTACATTTTTCGTTCAATTGAATTAAACTTTTAATCTCTCCATTGAGATCATCAGCAACAATTGCAGCCGGATAATAAACGCGCACTTGACTTTATATTTGTCGTTTCCGGCTGACCATGCACCGCCCATATTTTCAATTTTATTACATCTCGCTCGATTCTTTCTCTTCCAATAAATCCAATTACGATCTGATTCACCTTGAATTAATATTTGTCTTAATCTACTTTTAATTCCGTAACCTTTGGCTAACCCTAATTAATCTTTCTTCAGCTTTTTTTAATTATAATTAATTTAAGTAGATTCACAATTGTAGAGATGACAGTTGTCAATAGTTACATAATAATTATTTATAATCAAAGTAAATTTGTGATCAAGTAGTTGAATTTGTTTTTGATTCTATTTACATCAAAATAATATATTCATAAATTAACATTAATCAAATGCTTTGTTTGCAAATTTTTAGTTTAATTCTATATATTTTTTATAGATTCATGTCACAGGTCGAGCAAATAATTAAAATACAGTATACAGTTTACAAAGGGATGTTCGTAAGTCGGGGGAATTCTTAAAATTTGAAAATATACTTATCTTACCACACTTTATCATGTTTTTTGCTTCCAAAAATATTATATTTTATTAAATAAATCATCAATTTTTGTTTGGACTGAATTTTGTTCGTAAGTCCAGGAGTTCGTAAGTCGGGGGATACCTGTATTACGTTATTCTGTATTAATATTAATTAATATTTTCAATAAATTAGATCTTTGTTTGTTTGCAAATTTTAGTATTACTTGACACTTTAATCTGGACTTTAGTAAGTTGTAAACAAAGACTTACATATCTTTAAAAAAAACGGCTTTTTGTGTATATGTAAGAGCCTTTGTTATAAAAAATTGTGATTATATAATGTTCAAATTTTGAATCAACGTTGTAACAGTTCCTGTTGGCAATCCTGCGTCTATAAAAAGAATTTGGATCTGGTAACCTGAGGATTTGGTGGGGAGAACTGTCAGAAGTGACAGATAAAATTGTTTAAATTTGTTTGGTAAGTTTAAACAATTTAACTGATGAATGAATTTGTAGTAAACAATGAAAAGCATGCACTTACACCAACCAAAACTAATCCGAGTGATTATTGAAATGTGGGAAACTCATGTAACAACTAAGAAGTATCCACCACAGGATCCTAAAAACAAAAATTTAATATCTGCTTTATTATATATTATTTCTTTCCTAATAAAGCATGGAGTTAGGAGGTTTTTTTGTTTGCACAGTCCAATGTGGGAGTGGGATTTGCATTTGTGTAGACTTTTTTTTCTGCATGCCATTTGAATGTACACAGCCTGAAGATGAAGAGAGAAAGAATACAGAAAAAAAACAATGTGAGATAGTTATTTTACCGCACTCTGTGTCTTGTCCTGTATTGATCTGTATACTAATTCTAATTGCAGGTATGTTAAATAACACAAGCATTTTCCAACAATGTTTAGAAATTACCAAGAAGATTGTGCCACAGTGCAGTTTGAAAGAGTATGTATTGTTTTAATGTTCGATCAATTGCTTTTGTAAAGTTTTGTTATTGTGTTTATATTATTTGTTGTTTTGTGCAGAGTGCAATGGAAAAACCAGAAGCCAAAAGCAAGGGAAGCCTATTGCCCGACTGAAATTGAACATATCGCAAATGTGATCACCCATGGGGTGGCTATTGTGCCCAGCATCTTAGGCACATACGAATTATGCTACAGATCTGAGAATTTCGCTCAGCTGATATCCGCTTTGTTGTATGGCGCCACCCTAGTATTTCTATTTGGAGTCTCCACTTGTTTTCACTGCATCTTCTACAGATTTCAGAGAGGGTACTAAATAATTGAATTACTTAACATTGTAATATCCTAATTAGAATGTTTACATTTTTAGCCGATGGAAAGATACTTTGCATAGGTGTGATAGGGCTATGATTTACATTTTCATAGCTGGCTCCTATTTTCCTTGGTTAACAGTGAAAGCTCTACCTACAGATGGGTGGGCCAGCTCCATGAAGTGGATAGTTTGGCTGCTGGCGTCTCTGGGGATAATCTACCAACAAGTCTTCCACGAGAAATACAAATCTTTAGAAACCATATTTTATGTGATCATCGGGATCTTCCCATCCCTTCCGATCATAGCCGAAGTAAATACAATAATCTAAATCATCTACGGACGTTTTCAAATTAATCATATTTTGCAGAGCGACTTCTCCGGTTTAACGGAACTCAAGTTAGGTGGCATCTTTTACGTCGTCGGTATTATATTCTTCAAAGCCGATGGATTCATACCATGCGCCCACGCCATTTGGCACATCTTTGTGATCATAGCTGCCGGAGTCCACTACTTCGCTATACTGAACCACCTCTATCCAGATCTACCTCCAAGTACATAGAGCAAACAAAACAAAATCTAGTTAAATTCATTTTTTTTTTTAACTATTTCTCCTGAACCAACCAAAAACCGAACATCACCGTCATCATGGGTTTAAGTTAAATATGCAATAAGTATTTTAGATTCAGGTGAGATTACTTTATTTATACTTAAGTTATGTGTCTGTGTCCACGATTGTCGCGCTCGCAAAGAACCGGTGACGGATTATTTTTGATAAGCAATTTAATGCAACGATGTGCCAAGCTCGAAAAGCTTAATCTTACCATTTTGCGAACGTCGAATGTATATTTGTTTTTTTTTTCAATTTTAATATGATTTTAAAAGGGGAAACTCATTATTTTTTTACTGCGAATATAAGCAATGTACATTAATTGAATAACGCATATCAAATTGTGCTCATGGTAAAAAGTAATAGTTTCGTAAACCTATTTTAAAATTATCTTTTTAATCTAAAATAGTGGCAGCATCAAAAGCTGATTAAGATTTAAATATCGGAAAATCAAAAACATTTACTGATAATATAAGAAAATTGATAATTTATTTATAAAAGTCAAAATAGAATATTTATATTCGATAATTCGATAAATATCAAATTATAAATGTACAAAAACAACAAAAAATTTATAAATGAATGAATACTTTACATAAATTTACAAGGCGATGTAAGTATGAAAAGTTACGCATCTAAATTTGAGTTATGTCTGGTTCTCCTGATGCCTTCTTCTTCTCCTTCTAAAACGGGATAATTCACTGCCTGCGAAAGTGCTAAAGTCTTTTCGAAATCTATAGCCACGTAGCTTTTGGTCGCTCTTGGACTCGGCGTTCCGGGTTCATCGCTTTCCACCAAATCCAACTCTGCGTACATGATCGGCTTAGGAGGCGCACTCTTACGAGACCCAATATTAATGTAATGATGTTTTTGAATATCGAGCTTGTAGAAATCCGAATTTCCAGCTTCTGCAGAAACATGTACTCGTTCTTCGCCTTTACACATCGCGATTTCTCCTTTCGACAGTTCGCTTAAATTCTTCGTCTTCAATGTCTTCTGCACCAACTGGAACAATTTCATAGATTTTTTGCACTTGAACGCGTAGATCCCTTGTCCTGTTGGACATCTTCGACCAGTCTCGAACGTAAACGTTTTCGAAACGAATCCAAATTTCCTGAGACTTAACAACGGCCACTTAATCGGCGGATTATCCTTTCTGTTTAATACCAAATCGCCGCCGATGATCTCCATTGTACCCGCACTCACAGGTCTGCAATGACTGTCTATACTTATGACTTTGAACGCTTTAGTAGAGGTATCCGTTTTAGAGCTTACGCAACCCATGGCTCTGAAGCACTGCACTCGTCGACGGTTTCACTAAGACTAATGTTTTTCAAAAGCGAACATATTTTAATGGCCCAATTCCCAGAAGTACTCTCTACTTTAATAATCACTACTTTTTGTTAAACCAATCGTTTTTGATGTTGCCGCCTCAATGACCCGATTTTATTGCCGTCAAAATAAACCCTAATTGGGGTAGCTTTTACCCAAAAGGGAAAATTTTCAAAATATTTACATAAATATACATCGTGGACACGATTTAATCTTACGTTCATAATCTTGAAAGTACCATACACACTCAGTACAATGATTTTTGCTGTGATTTGCAAAAATCAACAACACTAATTTATTTCAAATTTGCATTTTTATTATTCCGCCTGCTTTTAATATAATTTATTATCTAAGGATTTCCAAATCCACTGTGATTTTTTTTTTTCTTCAACATATTAATTTGCATCATAATATTTATTTTTTAATTTTCTGAAATTTTGTTCGTAATGTGCATAGGTTTAATGATTTCTTTATTGTATAGTACAAAATATGTGTTTTTTTTAATGCAACAAGTCTAACTTTAGCGCTTCCCCCAAAAAAAAATTACAAAATTTACCAAAATGCACACAATTCAATTGAACTTTAGTTACACGCGTCATAATAAAACATATTTAAGTTTTATTATAGCGTCTTGTATAGAGTTGCCAAAACGAATTTGTAGATATTTTGACAAAATCTTACATTTATACCAATCTTTTATCCACGTATACAATTTTATATTACGTATGTTCTTTATTTGATATACCTGTACTTTTCCATATCGTACTGAAACTTAGTTAAGATCTACTTAGATGTAAACTTAGGATGTAAAATAAACCGAAATGTAAGCAAAATGCTTCATTTCAGTGCGTGTCAAATGTTTTAGGACTATTCTTCAATTGAATTGTGTGTGTCGTAAAGTCTGATGCGCCAAAAAAAAATAATTAATTAACAAGATAATCCAAAGCTCTTTAAAATTTTCATGTGTCAATGAATGTTGTACCAACTTGTAGCGTTTAGTGTAGCACATAGATGTGATTTAGTAAATGTAAACAAACACAAAAAAATATGAACAAAGACCTAAATGTGATTAGACTTTAATTGGATTGTTGTAATATGTAACGAGATTATCAAAATTTATATATATGAAAGAAACAAGGAACAATTTCAAATATATTTATTTATTTTCTAGATGTCTATGTATATGTGATCGGAATGAAAAAAAAAAGTAATAATAGGAATGTTGATTAAAGACTATTTTTTAGTATACAAATTGGATTTTCATTTGTTTAAATCATGATTTTATTTCAGATATCTTAAGTATTTGAATATACCTAAAAATACACAGATTTAAATGTTATGTATAAAATGTAATGGACTTATAAAATACGAATTTATTTCTGATTATTTTATAAAAGTAATTGATAATTCAACAGGTGAAGAACTTTGCAGCAACATCAATGGCTTTGGGCTCTGAAAGGACTCACCGCAGTGAAGGGCCTCAGTGCGGGATCGGCGTTAGGTAAGGAACCACCAGTCGTTGTTCTTGAGCATAAATGATGTAATTTAGCGCTTGGTCTGAAAACGATACTATGAAGATTTTGTAGTTCTTAAAGTAGTTTGAAAATCTTACCTCAGCGATTCTTGCTCAACGACGTTCTTATCGTCGGTGAATAAAACTGTTTGGTATTTAATACTATTCTTCGGAGAGGATTTATCCAAAATTCCGTTGTAAACCAACAAATCGTCCACCAAAATCTTAAAAATTATATACATTAGTATTTTATGTAGTTTATGAAAAGATTCGTACTCCAAACTCTTTGACTCCTCGACTCGGCGTTTTCGAGTAGTTCCACAGTTTTATCACAGACACGCTCACCGGATTATCCAAAACTATGTAGACTCGATTCAAGCATTTCGGGATGATCGGAGCCAACCAAGAGTTTAATCCATCCTCTCCTTCATTCACATCATCGATCAGTTTATCTGGTGTCCTGACATCACCAGATATATTAGGTAAAACGTTTATACTTTCAGGATAAGCGCATATATCTAAAACCAAATGAAAATCTTGACTTGTAGATTAGAATTAAGTATTTTCAACTTACTGTTATCTTCTAAATTAATTTTCCTTCCCTTATAATCGTACAATTCTATAGCATTTAATCCACAATAGTACTGATCACCCCATGTGGTAAACACGACGATTTCGAAGACGAATCCTTCCGGCATCCAAGGATTTTCATAAGAATCCTCATCTCTGTTATTTCCAGAGATTATGAAGCTCGGATTAGTGCAGACTGTGTGAACCAGTGAATCGCAATCACCCAAAATTATTTCCTGAACGAAATCGTAGTTAACATTCCCCGGAGCCCTTCTCAATATAAAGAAGTCGTCCTTGGTCACCGGATTCGAAATCAACTTTCTGTCCAGCAAGACCTTAACTCGACTGACTCCGGCGTATGTCATTTCCAAATTGGCGTTGTAATTCCAAAACCGCAATCCTGATATATAAACGAAGTTTTCGAACTCTATGGATATCACTATTTCTTGTCCATACTTGTACTTGTGGAACCACATCTGAGAACTATCAGTTGTGACGTTGACGCCGTTGAAGAGTCTGCTCATGTAAAGTTGCTCGATCTTTGAATCGCTTATGAGATTTTCCTCCTTCACCGGAATCGCCGAGTCGCTACCTTGAAACACTTCGATTGATGTAAGGCCTATCAAGTTCGCGTAGCCCCAATTCGAAGACAGAATGATATCCAAACGTTTCGCTCCCAACAATATCTGTTCACCTTCATCAGTCTTCTGAGCTCCGGTATACGGCCGAAAGCTTTCCTGAAAACATCATCAACTTGAACTTAGAATACCTTTACTTAAATAACCAAAACTTACGCTGGTTTTTAGCGCGGATGTTGGAGGTCTCTGCTCGTTATTGAGAGGCGTTTCGATTTTTTCCGCAGTCAGCGTGGGAAAAGAGCGATCATTCTGAGAAATCAACTCGAGAATTTCTTCGTTTACAGTAAACAGTATAGTCTAAAAGTTAATATTGTAATACTTCAAGCATTCTTCTGTAACAAATTAATGGTAATACATCACCGAACGCATCAACACCTCCCATGATTCCACCACAAGCTTTCGCGATTTCACCTCTGAAGATAACTTCATCGTCCAAACACATCACGATATCTCTCACGCCTCTGTACGAGTGTATTCGAGATTTATTGTAGTTCTGCAATGATTCAGTTAATTTTAGCAATTGGAAATTGTATGATTTACCCAAAGGCGCATCATGGAAATGTGTGATAACTCTTGAAAAATGATGGTTATACTATGCTTGTCTCCTTTATTGAACGGCGCCAACCATAGATGAACATCATCCTGAGTTCTGTTAACACCATTTATCAAATTCGTGACAACTCTCGGATCGTTGTTGCATTCTGGGAGAACGTTGACGTCGGCTGGTGTTGCTATAATCTAAAATATAACATTCCATTTAATTTGGAAAGTATGAATGGAAAAAGCACTTACGCTTTCCACAGATATTATCCGTCCATCATCCCCGAAAATTTCGATGCCGTTTAAACCCACGTAGTACTTATCGCCCCAGGTGCTAAGTATGTTAATGACTAGTACCTTTCCAACAGGTAACTCAGGTATAACGAATTGACTCGCGTCATTGCAACTGTATTTGCTCTTCGTTTCGGACAAACTCGGCGATCGCTCCACCTTGATACCGGTGATTTTCTCGTTCTCCGACAGCAGCTCGTTGATGATCTGCTGCCTGAGCTGATTCTCTTTGGCAACTTTCATCTTGTAATCCGTCATTTTGGCAGTCGAGAAATTCAGATCGTTCTCGCTTCCAAAGTACAAGCTCTCATCGTACAGCGGGAAAACGTTCTCGCTCGACTTTGATTTGCTGATGTTTCCAATCGGACACGGCGCTTCCGCCAACTTTCGTATATTGTTGTTCTGTGATAGATACGAGGACATCTCGCTCTTGCTCCTGCTTGGCATCTGCTGCTCTTGCTGCACTTCGAACATCGACGGGCTGTAAGTCTTTTCATTTTCGGAATTCGAAGATAAAGATGATACTGGCGACAACACGGAATCAAAGTACTCTGAAATGGACGGTCCTTTGACAATACAAGCGTCAGGAGTAGAGAATCAAATCAAACAACGGATGGATAATTGGGGGGGGGACATTCGATATTTATTGTTGTTTTTTACTTTGACATTATTAAATTCTCTTACCGCAGTAGCTGAAGTGCGGCTCTTCTGGTGGTTTGGCACTATCCAGTCTTCCCTTATGGCTCTGCTGGAATAGACTCAGACTCTTCCAAGACTTCTCCAGTGAGGCTTGATCTCCGCTCTTATCGAGTACGGAAAAGTCGAAAGCTTCACCAACTTTTGGCATCAGATATTCCGATTTCGATATTGTAATGTTTTTGGGGCTTGTTAACGCGTTCAATTGCGTCGTCACCGAAGCACGTCTACCATACTTAGCGGACGACGATGGTCTCCTACGCAAATTTCACTTAACCAAATAACATTAAAATCTAGAATTTAGACTTACGATGAGGGCGATAAAATCAAGCTATCCGAGCTGCTGGGTATATCCAAATTTGTCAAAGAGTCGCCGAAGTGCTGCAAACCGGAATGATCAAGTTTAACAACCTTCGTCACGGAGCTGAAAACAAGAACTGTTAAGAACAAAACACACACTCAATTCCGACTGAATTACTCTGCGATGTCTTCCAGCCATTTGGGGATGGTGCCGTGAGTTGGCGGATTTAGAGGGTCCGATTCTTCATTTCCTGACATGACGGATGATCGTCATTCGCATTATTGGTAAAGGTCTTTCGCAATCGGCTCGTTCGTACATTAATTTGACGTTCGCTGGCGGTTTCAAAAGTCTGAAATAATTTATGCGCCGTTTGTTGTGATGGATGAAGGGTATCGGTTGCTTGGAAACGGTAGTTCCAGTCGCCCTACGATACTTTTTGCCCACGGGTTATTGACACTCTGCATCCCTCTTATTAACTTGTTGATTACATTCTTATAGGCCCGATATCATCCAATTTACGGCTTCGAATACAATGGACTTATTCTCAGAACTTATTAAATTTCCTTATTTCTGTTCTTTGCTATCGATCCTAAGCTCCAAACATACCTGGTTAATCATTACATTATGAGAACGTTCCATTCTAGAACTTGCGCTAAGTATAACGTCTTCATGAATTATTAGAGACATAATTTTCTAATACTTTATAATCAATTCAAGGTTACAAATTAAACGCAATAAATTAATTCGTTTCAATATTGTGATTAAAAAAAATAAGATTTCAAACGTAATCGAGAAACCAATGTTTATTTTTCTTTATCTTTATTTTCGTTAGTTGAGACATAATTGAGAACTGAAGATTAGTTGGGCCAAACGATTGGTTCAATCCAATCCAAGAAATAAGAAACTCTTGTATAAATGCCGGGAGTCGAGGACAATCCGCAAGCTTTCCCAAACGACGTTACGCCGTAAATGACGTAAACAAAATCGTTGTTTCCAAAGGGGAATTTTCTTTGCAGCGGACCTCCAGAATCACCCTTAAAGAAATCATATGATAGTAAAAGAAAATGATGTTATTAAAATAGTACTTCACACGTATCGCGGTGCGGAGAGCTGGCGCAGATCTGCGAGTCGTCGCGAATCCCCGCCCTCAATTTCCTACTCAATGAGTAAAACTGATTACATCTTCCGTTATCAACCAAAGAGATGTTAACTTTCTGCAGATGATCGGCTTGTCGTCCTGAAAACTCCAAAGAACCCCAACCAGTCGCTGTAAACGCGTTACTTGAATGTATAAACATCTGAGTATTCAAACAAGCAGGTAGCACGTATTTTGTTCTTGTTGCTGCCCTGTCTAATTCAACCAAAGCAATATCGTTGTATCTCGATGGTGGCATGTATCTAGGATGTCTATGGGTGGACTTCACCAAAAAATTCTGCGGTTTCGCATCGTCAGTTTCCGAATACAAATTCAAGTCTCCCAAGCGGACAGCTCTAACATCACCGCTAAAAATCTTCAATTACAACAAGTGATTAACAGTTTATATTCATATTTACAACTCGGAATGGTACAGGCAATGTCCGGCAGTCATCACGAATTTCTCGCTGATCAGTGCTCCTCCGCACGCCCAGATAATGTTATCATTATTACGAAAACCAAGAACTGCCTGTAGATTCAATTTGAGTTATTTACGCATTATTTTTTTGATATTACAAACCTACCATGTGCGGAAACTCTGCCGCCAAAGAATCTGTTCCACCGACCACTAAAATCTTTATTGTCTCTTTTATTATTTTAATAAGATTGCTGCAAACTACATGAAAGTTATAAAATTAGTATTCGTATATATTATCTTTGAATTATTAATGAGTTGTTTCTATTACATTTATTTAACTTACAATTTTTACTCTTTTCACCAATAGCCAATTGCTTTTCGCAACATACGACTGGTTCATCATTAATATATGAACAGATGTTGGCCTGTCGTCTTTGCTTGAGTAATGCAACGGCGCTAGGACAATCCCTGATTGGTACGCAAATACCAGAAAGACCATTCGACAAAGTGCATGATCCTGAAACCAATAATTTTCGTAAATGTATATCATAATTACACTATCACTAACGTTGCGTTTGACCGTTTGCGATTTCAATTAAATTGGCTACTAAGAACAAGACGTTTATAAAAACCGCAGTTGCATCCATCGCTTATGATGAAAAACTGTTTACATAGTCGAGATTTCACTTTTAAATAAACTTGGAAAAACCTTTTGTCATTTACGTTATAAATAAACTTTATAAATAATTTGCATATTAACAAAAAATCCCATTTCATTGTATTTCCTACAAAAGGTAAATTTGTAAATAAAGTGAATTCTTAATATTTTATAATATTCAATTAATTTGTCCTATTTTGTTTAATTACAATTTATCGAGATAAACTAAATTAATTGGATTTACTTGAAAGTATAAATATTCATTAAAACTTATCCAAATTAAGTTCAATCTGTTTGCACATTCATAAGTAAATACTTGTATGCACTTTTGATGCATTTGACTTTTACTAACTCTTACTAAGTTTCTTTACTTAGTTCATTAGTTTAATATTAGTTCTGCAAATAAAATGTTTGTTATCCAATAATAATCCATACTTTATGTAATAAATAGCTTACAATACGCCATTTACTCTAAAATTCGTATTAGATCGTTAAAAATAATTGAATAATCATTGTTGTTCATTTTCATTTCTTTGATCTTTAAGTAGCTATTTTGTAATGTACATTAGTTAAGTTACTTGTTGTTCTTTGTTAAATGTTAATTTTACTTTAATTAGTATTATTGAATAATAATTTAATTGTTTTCCCACGCAAATCAATGATTACTCATAATTGCTACTCATTGTAATGAATGGAGAAAGTTGGGTTGCCTACATACAAAGCTATAAACATTTGAAATATCGCAATAGACCGAAGTTGAATAAATTAATTAGAATCGATAATATTAGGAGAAATATCTGTACAGTTGAAAGAATCTATATAGTTGATAATTTTTCAAACAAAAATAATCGACCTGTTTCCAAGGGACGAATCCATCTGGTCTGTCAGCTAATGTCAATAATGTAAACAATGAGCGTGAAGATCTGCCGGTCCAGTAATAATTGTTGAATAATCAATAATTCATTAGTGGTTATCAATCAATCAGGTAAATATCTATTCTATCCTTCTTCCGCATCTTCAATTTCGCACAGTTTCAGAATGGGAATACCGTACCTTAGGTTAAGCCTAACCTATATGCTGGCCGCCTTCATAAGAGTCCAACTGATCAATTCCGAGTTCCAAACGGATATCGCCAGGAGGGTGGAGGTGACGACCCCATTGAACTCCCTGAAACGTGTGATCGAAGGGAAATTCAGGCAGTCAATCGGTGTAGATCCATACTCTGGTGATGTTTTACATGAGCCTCCAACCCACCTAATCTTCTACATCTACATACTAAGCAACTGCTCTAACTACCTGCCTTACATTTTCGCAACGCTTGACATAATAACGGCGCACTTCCTGTACCTGTTCTGCAGGAATTTCATGTTCCACCTGTTTGTGAAGCAAGAGAAGAACAAGCATATGTATGCAGATGAAAGCCAGCTCGCCAGTGGCGAGGATTTCTTCTGGATCCCGTTTTACGTTACCTGCATCTTCCTGTTCAACCCCTTCACCATGGTTAACTGCATAGCTATGACCACCACTACACTCAGTAACTCCTTAATATCAATCATCATATACTCGCTCGTCTCCGGAAAATTCCTTTTGACCGTCGTCTTATTGGCGATCGTGACAACCCAATCGTTTTATCAGATAATCCTGCTCAGTCCTCTGTATCTGTCCGTCATCAAACGCACCGAATCGATTGCTAAAGCCGCCTTCTACATAACTTGCTACTTTCTGGTACTCCTGACTCTACTCATTACCTGTTACCGTTTAAATCCCAACTTCTTTGAAGCAACCATCGGTTATATCTTTCAGATCAAGGATCAGCAGCCGAACGTTGGAGTGTTCTGGTACTTCTTCACCGAGATGTTCCAGCACTTTTACACGCTCTTCATGTACAGCTTCCAATTGAACGCAACAATCGTATACCTGGTACCTCTTACGCTGAGATACCGCAAAGAACCGGCCATCGTTCTGATCCTGCTGCTATCCTTGATCACGATATTCAAGTCGTATCCTTGCGTCGGAGATTACGCTCTGACACTGTCTCTAATCCCCTGCTTGAAGCACACTTTTAACAACATGCACAGCATGTTCGTGACTTTCACTATATTCTTCGTTTCGACAATGCTGGGACCGGTGCTTTGGGATCTGTGGATTTACTATGGAAGCGCCAACTCTAACTTTTACTTCGGGGCTACGGTTTTCTTTAACATTGCTAACATCCTGCTGGTAACCGACCTAACCAAAGACATACTCTTGCATGAATACTACTTGAAGTACGGAAGACGTAGAACCATCAACGGCAAAGATGCACATCTAGTCTACAGCATCTTCTAATTGCACTAATGTTATTAATTTATTTTCGTTACATGTTTTCCAACTAACTTAAAATATTATATATAAAAAAAATATATATATATCAAATATATTTATGGATATCTCGTATATTTATTGGTGTAAATAAAGTATGTTATTCGCAGATAATATATAAAAATAATAAAAAAAAAAGAGAAAAGTAAGAATTATTATTATCTTTATTTACCTTTCGAATTAAATAACGTATTTACTTAATTAATTTCCTCACTAGTAAAGTATATACAATGATTTCAGACATAACAAATCAATAATTCCACAAGTGGTTTTACGTTTCCAAACGCATTTAGTTCCTTTTCATTTGACTAATTTTAAAATATCTTCTGACTTTGATTCTTTCTTGTCAAGAAGAGGGAGAGGATTTTTTTTAATGAATTGATTATTTTTCTTCCTAAATATTTATTTTAATAAATCAAGTTTTTTAATTAACTTAGAACAATCCAATGTATTATTACAATTATAGAAATAGTTTGTTTAATGGTGATTGTGTATGATGAAATATGTTTTTTTTTGTAAAGGTGTAAATCATAGCAGGTATGCGAGTTTGTGGTTAAAATCTTTATTAATTTATATATATAAAAATATGTAGTTTTCTGTTTTGTTTAAATTGGCAATTGTCGTTCTATACAAGTAATATACAGTCTTATAAGTTAGTTTCTATTATCACATTCTGACAAGAATCCTTCGAAAATCTTCACGAGATTCTCGATGCCATCCAAATAGTTGTAGTCAATGGTGTTGGACTCGGCTGGATAGGCGTGCGCGAAGTCGATCATCTTTGCTGTGGCCCACAGTTCCGTCTTCTGCTCGCTCACCAGATCATCCAACATGTAAACGTAGTTATCGCGTATCGTCTGCAAATCTTTGTCGTAGTTATTGTGAAACGAGTGCATGCGTTTCAGCGTAGGCACTTCCTTCCTGGTGATGCTCGGAGCGCAATTGATGATCCTAGGTGATGATGGTTTGCTGTTGGTGAAAATTGGACCATCCGCGTTGAGTTGTCCGCTGAACCCAGTACGAACGGATTCTTTGTCGTGCAGGATGGCAATACTTAAAGGTCTATACAAACTTGCAGATCGCTTCAGCACTGGAGGCTTCGGCTTGGTTTGTCTCAAACATCCGTTGATCTCAAGGTTCTGCTTCAGGCGTCGCGCGTCGTAGATTAAGAGGATCGAAGAGGAGTACAACCGCACCGCAGTTTGCTTCTTAGCCCAATTCTGTATTCGCCACAAGTTGACCAGCAGCTGCACCAAGAGACACCTACTCCAAGCGATGTCACCATTGAGGAACACCTTGAAAGCTGCGAATATACCCTTAACTGTAAGCCAACCCAAACCTTTAAATCAAACTACACACCTTCAATTATAGATTCCTTGTTCAGCTTCTTTCCATACTCCTTTCCGTACTTCTTCAGCTTGCCGTTCGTTATTTTGTATACTTGAAATCCCGGCACGCAGAAGCCCAGATCTCGCTTCGTCTCCTTGTACTTCTCCTGGAAACAATCATCCATCAGTTCGTGTACTCATTCACCACACGTTCAAACAATTTACATCTTCCTTTTTGATCTTATCCAGATTGGCGCGCGGATCCCACGTCCTTCTTCCTATCTTGATGTCCATAATGCAGGGCTCCTTTAACCCCTTAGTCAAATCTTCCAGCACAAGACACTCCACCAACTTATCCCCGATCGGGACGACCTCCTTCCCGAAATACTGAGGCACGAACTGCTTGAGCTGCTTCAGACTGGCGCTGTACGAGGCGTCCAGATCGTTGTAGAAACACGACTCGCGTTCACCGTTCACCACCTTGGTGATCGGCTTCAAGACCGCTCCTTTGTACTTCAACATGCCTAGAACAGATCACATACAGCTCAGTTTTAATCCTTACACATTGTGATAGTGTTTGCTTAAGGCTTTCCACTCACTGGAGAGAGACAATGTTTATATTGCGCTGGCCTTCGAGAGTACGGCTCTCTGCAATTATGCGGTATCGACAATCACGCGCATTTAGCGTTGTTGCGGGTCGAAGAGACGTGTTTTATGACTTCAGTCCCACTCCAGACTTATTCTCGAGGAGAGGAAAAAACAATGCTCTAATCATATTATAAATAGTGCGAGATAAAATCGGGTATACTTATTTTTCCCATACGGAAAATCTCTTGGAATTCACGATTAAATCTTGCCCGGGTTCTATTATTACGCTACGATCGATTAACAAATAAATCGCGAGAGATTTGCCATAAATTTTTGTTTTTTTTTTCATAATAATATTATTCGTCTTATCTCGTCAAGATTAAGCGCGTTATGTATATCCCACATACGGTTTCATAATCGATATTAATTATGCTAATGGCATTTGCCGAACAACGCAAATAAAGAACAATTATCGTTGTTTGAGTTTGTTCTGCGTTTCGATGATGACTGAAATAATAACTACATCAACAGCGATTTTTATCTGGCTAAAAAACTGGTTAGCGTCGGATAGCCATGGATATCATGTGCCCTGTATTAGTAGAGTCAACAATGAATGAAATTACAAACAGTTATAGTTTTTCTGTATTGTTTGTCGTGCATGATTTAGATATCATCTAAACCTAATGCACTTCATTGATGATAGTATGATAATGTAATCGAATCTGCATAGATTTAACAAAAGTAGGATTTCCCGTAAAGTCAGCCGCAATATTTTTATACATGCACAATTTGTAAATAGAAAACCGTAAACTTTGATTATTATTTTAAATGAATATACGAATTACATCATACATAATTAAAATCATAATGATCTCTAAAAGCAAATCAATTTAGATTACAAAAATATCCCGTTACTAGAAAGAATGTTCATGGCTAAACTACGCTTGAAGTCAAAAAACACGTAATTTATTACATTTGCACTACAATACAAATGAAATAGTTCAACAAAAATGATTTAGAACTAAGACTTTAGTAACTTAAGTGTACATTTTATATCCATTTTTCTTTCCTATCAACTAATTCATTAAAATTTACAAATTATTATAATAGAAATCGTGTCAGTGTTATTAAAAATATATTATATTTATCTCAATTTGACTATTTGCAGATCACCCATCACTAACCTCAACACTCTTTTTCTTAACTTTCATAAATTGTCAAATATGAAGTATACTACTGAATGGGTTATGAAAAATCTAAATAAAATATTTTTTTTAAATAGTTACTGTTAAAATACAGATAATTTTCATTGAATTTTCTATATCTTTTTTTTTATTTAAATTCACATTTCGAAATGTTAAAATATTTTTTTAAAGTTATTAAAATTTTGTGATAAATACGAATTTTTCAAGTTCTGAATTCAATTACAAAAGTTTTCATTACCAACGAAATTAAACAAAATCTATGGTCAATTATTAAACAATTGAGAGTTATTATAAATAACCATGGTTATATAAATATTATTGTCAACCCATTTAATGCCATATGATTATAAATGGTTTAGTAATTGTAGTAATCTAGTTATAATATAATTATCATGTATATTTGTTTATTTAGTTATATTAAGATATATATTATTACGTTAATACACATTTACATAGGAGTTAATAAAGGACATCTAAATGTTCAGACGAATCATCTACAAAATTCCTGTGTGTCTGCATTAGAAATTAGTCATAGGTGAGAATCAATATCAAGTATAGAGAAAAATTTGAATGTATATTTAATTGATTTACCTTAATGTATTCATTAATTACTTATTTTACAAACTAATCCAATAATTAAATTTTCTATAAATTGAAACTTATTTGGCACAAAAATATTATTTTCATCAATACTTTAAAGAATTAATTACTACAGTAATAAAAATAAATAATGATCAGGAATCGCGTGACTCTAAGCATTTCAAAGAAAAAACACGTGATAAACATTAAGCATTTCGATGCAGACTGGACACGATAAATGATTTGCATGAAAAGTCAAACTTTTATTAGTTACAGCAATCTTTACGATATAGATTGGAATATCGTCAATTAAACTGTTTTCGAATTCATTATCACGAGTAATTAGAAACAAACAAATAAACACGATACTAAATAAGATTAGTTCATTCAGTCGTTTTGGAAGAAATAAAATATGATTAGTTTAATGCAGCAAGAAGATAAAGATTATAAAAGCATGATTTATACTAAAGCTGTATAATTGATAAAATTTCTGCTAATTAACTTATTAATGATTAAAACTTCTTTCAACCAAACTATTTATTTTATTATTCAACTATACAGTGGAACCTCGCTTAACGAGCAAAATTAATTGTAAGAAAAATTATGAAGAAAAGTCCCGGATTGCGCGCCTAGTACATCATTTTTAAAACTTGTATACACATATTATGTATATTTTTGAATATGTTTCACTATACGAGTAAAAATCCGGAAATTTTGGAACGGATTAAATCGTTAAGCAAAGTTTCACTGTAATTGTAAGAAGTTAATATTTATGCTAGTCAACCAAATGTACAGATAAGATTTGGAAGTAGCCTACACAACTTTATTTGTTTATACCAATAAAAAATTCAAAATTTGTAAACACATCGAAAATGTTTTGAATGTAACTTATAGCATAAATAATTTGTTTACAATCTATATAATAAACAAAAGATTTAATTTACAAGCTCAAAAAGCAATTAGGAATAAAAAAAAAAAGGGCATACCTAGATTGTGTCCATCATTTGTGTGTCCAGCCACCTGGTTCTCCAACTCCACTGGCTCTGCCTCCTCATCAACATCCTCAGCAGCTTTCTTGCTCTCATTGTTGTTGCTGGTGTAGAGACTCGGCTGGTTATCCATGTTGCCATCTCCAATGTGTGCACTCAACTGGCTAGGTTGTAATCTATCGATTTCACTCTTTCCCATGGTTTATTGTTATCTAAATGTACACTTACACTTTACACCTGAAAGGGGAATAGCTTATTATTATCAGTACAAGGGGGATTATCAGGAGCAGGTTGAAAAGACAAATACAGAAATATCTATGACATGTGCGTTTCCTGTTGCAACCAAAAAAAATAATATAATTTTCAAACATATGTTGTTGTGTGTTGCAAAATGTTTCACATTACAGCACAATGAATGAATATCAATGAAACTTCAAGTCAAATATGGTGGAGTGAGATAACTCATACAGAATTTCACCAAAGCAAATAAGGGAGTTAGTTAAGTAAGAGTGATTGGGTAATTTGGGTGTATACAATTACTCCATACCTTATTTGAGTGCGAAGCATTCTTAACCTTGTCCACTATTTTATTCATAGTATCATGTTTCCTTTCACTATGATCAACTATACTGTTATTATTTGGTATATTTTGGATTCTGTTCTTCTACTACATGTCGTGTTGTGTATAGTGAAAAGTAGTGAATGCATGCGAGCGAATATTTGTGGGATGGATTTTTTTTATGAATGAATCGTTCGGTATGGTAGGAGGTTCATGCGCAAAGCTTTCGTATCTCCTCCTCGAGGGCGATATTCAAGTGGCCAATAAAATTTCTGCTCATTACTATAAGCCAGACCAAGCCGCAATTTCTTGGGATAGAATCATTAAATTGTTATTTATAGTTTTCGGTTGTTTCATTTCCATGACTCAATAGAAAGCGTATCCCAATCAAAAAAAAAACCTAATTACTTCACGTGAAATCAGCTTATATTTGATTGATTGAAACCTTAATTGGAAAGAAATTCGAAAAGAAAGAAGCTAATCCCATTTATATCACCTCTCAAAACCAGATTTTTTTTATATTCACCAATCGTTTATTATAAAACCCAATAAACTATTAATACAGATCAAACACTTTCTATGATAATCATCACTATTGTTTCTTTGGATTTAAATAAATAATAATTTGATATGATTGATCCAAGAATATAATTGACCTACAGGTCATGTAGGTCAATGACCTATAGACCGGATCGTTCCATTTCTAAAAGTGCACTTCTCCAAATGTCACATATATCTTTAATCCTTACAAAATTTTAATAGTTACCATAAAACATTGATCACTCACATATACGATTTACACATCAAATGATCCTAAAGACGTTTACTGTGGTAATAAATTACTTTCTAATGAATATTTCGATCGTAAAACTTTAGAAGCGAACAACAGGATTCATTATATCTTCAATTATAGCCCATTAATGAGACCATCAAAACTAAGCGAAAAAGAAAACGAAATTTCTTTTCAATTTTTCTTATACAAACAAATGATGAAATTACATTTAAATTTACTTGGTTAAATTTAATTATCTTAGAATTCTGATGTCCGCGCATATTTTTAAACGTGATTATTTTGTAAGCTTGAATCACTTCTAAATCTGGGAATTCGTTATTTCTTTTGAAATAAGTAAACATAGAAACCAAAATGAAAATAAATCATAGTGGAATATATGTTCCTAGAAATAAACCGATAATTGTTATCATATATATTTATAGTCCGTAATCTGAATGACACTTACGATTTTGCTACGTTTCATCCAAATGCATCATTTTTTATAATGTTTTTTCTAATTTATCTTAAATTTTCGATAAACAAATATATATTTAATTTAGTTTATAAATTCGATTAGTGTGGATTCATTAAAGTCCGGTTTGAAAATTTCAAAACCAACAAAATTTTAATAATTGAACAAAATAAAAATATTTTTTAGAGAATTCGTATACAAAATTATTTTTCCAGTAAAGTATATTTCTGTGCTCATTTTTTCTTTGCGGTTTCAAATTCATTATGACACTTTTTTTGTAATTATTTATGTTTGTCCTCATGTTGTAATCTCAATATAAACGTTATTTCATTTAGGAAAAACCAATTAGAAATACTCAAAGTTTCGTGAACGAATAAACTAAACTTTCTCTAATGTTTGGAAAACCTATAAGTCTATAAGGTAAATCCAATATAGATAATCTTATTAATATAAGACTTCTTTCCCACCTGACCTTGTTTATGGCTTAATTAATTTTACTAATTAAGAAATGTTATTAACCTGGTGAATAACGATAATTATAATTAGTTAGTCTATAATTTTCGATAAATTTTATAAAAGTCAATATTTTATTTAAAGACCTGAAAAAACTATACATTTCTTTTGTAACCATGACTTTTACACTCTCAATTTTCTTTTACTTTAATGAATTATTTATATGCTATTAGTATGTAACTTCATAAGTGAACGCAATGTAGCAAATGTTAAATTATATAATAATTAATGTAGAGACTAGTAATAACTGAATGTGTATTAATAGAATTTCTGTTAAATTTAATGATGGTTGAAAACGGTTGAAGTTATATTGCATTTTAAGTGTTATGGTTAATAATTGGAAGTTAATGTTGAAGCTGATTTGTGGTTTTACCTTTCAGAATGCTTGAAAACAGGAGAAGTAAACAATGAAGACAAAGAAAAAACACATCACCTTCGACTGTGGTAGCGATCGTCTGGCGTGGTAAACAACATGGGTTCTTCCATTCGACTTCCTTTTTCTACTATTTGGTACGACGGAACGTGTCCGAATGCTGGAAACGTGCACGAAAACACTGGATGTGCACGGCTTTGTGCGTAAGAAAATTTCAACACTGCTTATCCGAGTCGATCGATGTTTATAAAACAGACGAATGATTCAATGTAAACTAAACGGAATTGGTAATTTGGTACATACATCAAAATTCTATTGGATTATTGATGCAAGGATTTGTAAATAAGAAAGAGGTAATTGGTTAACAGTTATAAGTAAAGCCAACGCTCAAGAGGAGATTGGAATGGTATGCACGGATTAGGCGAATGCAGATGAGGATTAAACGGTTCCACTTGATACATTTCATTGCTTCTCCGAATAACAATAATAACGAGAAGAAAATGATTGTGTGATTTCGAAAAAGCGGATGTAAATTTTTATGAATCTGTTTCGAAACCGGCGTTCTTTCAGTGCACACATTAATTGTGTCTATTCATTTGTTTTGTTTTTTTCCTTCTGATTCCAAGTGGCGGCGGCAGCAGCAACCTTCGATGGTTTTAAATCTATTTCGATCAAACAACAAAAGACTCGCCCATACAATCGCTTCGTGGTAAAAGTATGTGACATTAAGTTCAATCGAACGAGCGAAAAGTACGGACGAGTCACACGCTTTGGCATTGGATTTCGACCGGGGCGAGGCTAGTCCGTGGCTCCGGATTACAACAAATTGTTTGTATCCTTAAAGCACTTTTCAATTGTTTCAACTGGGATAATGACGGATTCCTGTCGTAGGTGATGGCAATTGTTTAACCTTCTGTTCCTTCCGTTGTTTCAAAAACAGTTTACATTCTTTAACTAGTATTTTTTTAACTTTAAACTTACGCAAGCAATTTTTATAATAGTACAATCAATAGGAAATATAAATTAACTACATATTTATTAAGACGTAATCACAATTAAATCATGATTAATTTAAGCTGACGAAAGCAATTTTTACTACAACAATAAAATTAGTTCATTTTTTTACATTACATACTTTATTATACGTGAAACCAGTTGATCAACTATCGAAACAAAATATAACGAATCATTTAACAATTGCGTAAGTAAAACAAAAATCGCCTATTAAATGTTTCAATTAAAATTGTTTACGTAGATTTGATATCTGGTTACTTAAAACTATGTAACATAATTATGTTCTATGATTATTTGCAAAATATTTATGGAAAGATTTCACTTTACAACAAGTACTTGGCAAGAATTTTTATCATCATCATCATTCAAATTAATGAATCTTTAGAAGATTTTATTTTACAAGTACTTGGCAAGTATAGAACTTTCAACTGGGATAATGACGGATTCTAAAAACTATGTAACATAATTATGTTCTATGATTATTTGCAAAATATTTATGGAAAGATTTCACTTTACAACATGTACTTGGCAAGAATTTTTATCATCATCATCATTCAAATTAACGAATCTTTAGAAGATTTTACTTTACAAGTACTTGGCAAGTATAGAACTTTCAACTGGGATAATGACGGATTCCTGTCGTAGGTGATGACAATTGTTTAACCTTCTGTTCCTTCCGTTGTTTCAAAAACAGTTTACATTCTTTAACTAGTATTTTTTTTTAAATCGTTATAACTTTAAACTTATGCAAGCGGTTTTTATAATAGT